CGAGGCCTCGCGGGTCCGAGCCAGCACCTTGAACCGCGCCCGGAAGCAGTGGGGAGGCAGCGCGGAGCCTGGCGCTGCAGGCACGAGTGGACCCAGACGGCAGCCACCGCCGCGGAGAGCGCCCGGCAGCACCGCAGCCCACGTCGGTCTGGGAGAGGGGGCCTGGGCAGCGATGGCTGGAAGCTGTGACAGCTCGGCCAGACCGACGCATGAAATCAAAATGACCAAATGGAAATAGCGGTGCATCTTGCACGAGAGCGCACGAGGGTGGCTGGGACCGTGCGCAGAAAAGCAAGTCCAACCAATCGCATTCTCTGGGCCAGATTCTGCCAAATCATCAGAGTGGCTGTAATCGCCCAAAAGTTTTAATAGAAAGGAAAGAAACCCTCCCGCATAAGAGACAGCGAGCGGCTGGGGCAAAACTGGATTGTGGCGACAAGGCCACCATGAGGAAGACCAGACCCGCTCAGCGTAAAGAAAGCGGAGCTCGCGGCACGCAATACCAGACCCACGCCGAAAGATGATAGCAGTCGCAGTGAAGGCCGGGGCAAGGGTGGATGAGGGCAGTGAGAGCGCTGTCTAGAAGCGCTGGTGAGTGAGGTAGGCCTCAGCCCTCTTCCACCCCCGAGCCTCAAAATCAAAGTGACAGTTCCTCTAAAAGGAAAGTTGTTGGCAGAGACCTGACACACTCGTCGCATGTATATCCGAGCCAAGAGAGAGAGAAGGGCACAGGGGCTGCATCCAGTGAGCGCGGCCTCGCGGTGTGCGGTGCTGCAAACATGTTTGCGGTGCCACACACCACACGTTTAGATGTTCTCTGCGCTGCAAGGGCATGCGCTGCTCCGCTTTTATTTTTTCTACAGGTTTGGTCAAAAAAACCCACGGAAAAAAAAAAAGCAGAGCAGCGCATGCACGGGCAGCGCGCACCACTCCAGCGCAGAGCCGGGCCGTCCAGAGCCGCAGCCAGGATCCACGCGGCAGAATCACCGCTGCTGCTGCAGCCCCGGGAGACCCCCAGGACCCTGCGTAGCCAGCTGGGGCCAGCCCAGTGCGGTCCCAGCCTCCCTACCCCAAAAGTGGCTTGCAAGAATATATGAAAGGGTCGCAAACAAACTTTAAAAATGGATTAAAAACCATGGGAAACCCTCTCAAAAAAGGTTGAGAGTATCCCCCTAGGCCAGGGGTGGGCAAAATGCAGCCCCGGGGCTGGATGCGGCCTACCAGGCCATTCTATCCGGCCCACGGGGCCCCTAAAAATTTAGAAAATTAATATTTCTCTGCACTGGGCTGCCTGTCATGTGGCCCGTGATAGCTTGCCAAAAACATAGCTTGCCTCTGCCCAAAATAATTGCCTTCCCCTGCACCCCGTCACATCTGATGGACTTACAACTTCCAGACCAGTCAGAAACTGCAAGGAAAACCAGCTTCGCATCTGGACAGATCCAAACCCACAATTCAAGCAGTTAGCAGTTGTAATGTGATAATTCCCCCTTCCTCCCTGTTTTGTTCAGACTTTCATTTGACCAGCCATCAAGGAGAAATGCTTTGAGGCGATCCAATCAAGCTGCCAGCAAGGTGTGCAGTCCAGGAGGGAGCTGGAGAAATCCCGCTTGGTGAAGGCTGCAAAAAGACTGGAACAGCTTCCTGCCGGCATGGGTGAGAAAAATACTGCTGCAGCTAAGTATGTACTAGGACTTTCTGTGATAGAAAAAGACTCCTTCCCAATATAAAATGAGCTGTCATTTAGTTTTAGAGCTTGTATTGGTGTTAAAGCCTTTCTGCTATTAATTGAACAAGGTGTCATGTCAATCCTTAACTGCTTGTAACTGCGACAGGCAGCCTTGGTGCCGGCTGGAGTTGGTGAGAGGCTCCCAGCCGAGACCCGGGCGCAGCAGAGGATGCAGGAGCAGCCCCAGGTTGCAAACTGCAGAGCCCGGAGGAGGCTGAACCCCAGCAGTGCCAGGTGTCCCACGGTCGCACGGTCTGCTCACCGATTCGGACTCAGATTCACCTGCACCCAGTCTCCGGCTGCAGCCAGGCATCGGGAAAGGATGGAGACCAGGTTCAGAGGCAGAACTGCATGGGGTCACGATACTGATGCACCTCGTTCCACGCTTTATAATCCCAGGGTTTGCAGCACAGTGCAGCATTTAATGCAGGGCTAATGATCCAGTCACATGAGACGTATGGAATAACCGCGGCGCAGGCTCCGGGGCCTGGTGCAAGAGGCATGGGCCCGACCCACCTCCACACCCAGGCACGGGTGGCCGGGCTGCAGCCGGGTCAGCTGGCACTGTGCTGACCAGAAGATCCCCACCGATGGGCCAAAGCCCAGGAGCAATGGGTTAAAACTGGGCCAGAAGACGTGGAGCGGGGTGTGCATGCTGGGACGCTGGAAAGAGGTCCAGATGCTCTCCCCGCTGTCGGAGCACCAGGGGAGGAGCTGGACACTCTCCACCCTCAAGAGGAAGCCGGCCGCCTTCCCCGTGGCCAGACCGCCCGGGGAAGCGCTGGACGCTCTCCCCGCTGCTGCCAGCCTCGGCCACGTTCAAGGGGCCCAGGCCAAGCTGCAGAAGTGCCGCTAAGCAGATGGCCCAAAGCCCATTTGTGAGTGACCGCAGTGTGAAGTTCAGCAGATGTGACAGCTCACTTGGTCAGCAGGTAAAGGAAACCATCGAACACAACTGAACAAAGCACAAGGCCGAAAAGGAGATAAGGGAAGACCATACATTACATACTTCATATACCCTATATCATAGCTTTATCTTAAGTAGTAGTAGTAGCGAGCGATGTAACCAAATGTATTAGATGTTATTTTGCCATAATAGATATATTTTTGTTAAATGCTTAGATAATTTGTAAAAACAAAAACAGCCTGTCAGAGAAGACCATAAAGTCAGGTAAAAAAGAAACAGAAACGGCATTCCAGCACGGGGAAGGAAAGGAGAGAAGAACCCCTCCCTCTTTCCCAAGGACATAAATCCCAAATAATTGGCACCTTCCAAGTCCACAAAAGATCTGGCTCAGTCCCGTTCCAATAGTTTCAGTGAAACCAAGAAATGTAAATAACACCAATCAGAGATCACTTATTAGAATATTAAAACCTGCCATCTATAAATAATGGGCATGGGCTGGAGGGAAATTTGGGAAATTCAGCAAATTCAAGAAGACCTGCTGCCAATCTGCTTGCCACCCTCCTCCCACCTCGCGAGTCTCCCAGCGGGGGTAGGTGCGCGACTGTGTCGTGCAGGCGCAGGCACCCAGACAGACTCGGGGATAAATGTTTGTTCTCATGTTTTAAGGTGCAAGCAAATAAAAGGCTGGGTGTTGTACCTGTTTCTGCCTCTTTTATCAGTAGCCTGCCCGCACCCACGAGATTACTTGTAATCTAGGTCATGCCACTGATGGAGCTGGGGAGTGCCCTGCCCTGGACGTGGCAGGGACCAGATCCTCGCCTGGGAGCCCGCGCCAAAGGACCCCGGTCAGGTGGGGCAGGGAGGGGGCAGCCCAGGGGAGCCCGAGGGGCGAGCCAGGGCAAGAGCCACCTCAGATAGGCTTTTGTACCCCACGGGCCCCACGTGTGCACCAGGCTTGAGCCATTTTAAGTTACGTTACCTGCTTAGTTGTGGTTTTTGAAGATAAAGACAGCAGCAGGGTCCTGTGGAGTTAATCCTCGTCGGTCACCTAGCAGAGAAGACAAGGCCACATCGCCACACCACTCATCACCAGGGCTGGTTACAACACCCGAGTGGAAAGCAGTGGGGTGTAGGGGAGGACAAGCCCCACAGAAGTTACACCGATGTGGCCGCGCCTGGACCACCGAGGAACCACTGACCACCCCCAGGCAAGTGAGGGTTCACCCAGCAGAAACAACAAGGTCATGGCGGGTGAATAGGCCAGGTGCAACGTGACCCAAGGGGGCAGGAGGTGCCCGTGGCCTGCCGGCAAGGGCATCGGGCATCGGGCGTGAGCCTGTCACACCTACGTAACTACAGTTTTGCTGGGGACTCTTCCACAACGGGCACACGTTCAGGGCTGGAGAACTGCTTTTGGGAGACGGGCTCCATCTGACAAGGACTAGGAAGAGCACCAGCACGCATCATTTGACTAACCGAAGAAGGAGGCTTTCAACTAGGTTTCACTGGGGACAGTGAACGTGGCGGAGCACCTTTGGGTGCCTGCCCCTTTAAGGGTTTGAGCAGGCTGTGAGGCAGCCTGCAGGTGAAGCAGAGCCAATCAGGTGTTGGCAGGACAACCCAGAGGCCACCTGATTGGAGCAGGGTGGAGCAGCTGCAGTATCGCCCCGCCCCGCGGGAGACCGTCCGCTCCTGGAACGTTCCGGAGGTCGGGGTAGGACCCGTGGGCGAGGAGGAGGTTCCCGGGGGGTCCCGAGCCCCAAGGAAGCAGCCCAGGGAGACAATATTATTGGGGGGGCTGGGGTGAAGAGGGCCCCGGGGCGGGCCGCGGGGGGCTCGGGGCCAGGGCAGCTCATCCAGGGCTGCGGGGGGGCTCCCGCCGTGCGGTGCAGGAAGGGCAGCCGCTTCCAGACTCATCCCCGGGCTCCCAACTAGTCAGGGCAAGGGGGCTGGGGCTGACAGGCCAAGGGGCAAGTGAGCCCACCGCGAGGGGCACCCCGACCGCCCTGGGGGCAGGGCCAGAGCCTAGAAGAGGCTGAAGGTCGCTCCGACGGGGGGACGCCCGTGCCGAGAGCAGACAGGTGGTGGCTGGCATGACGCAGGCGGAAGCCCAGCCCCCCGACGGGAGCGAGCCGGGGCGGCGCGGGAGTTCGCTACGAGGTGGAGGCAGGACCAGAAGGCCCGGGGGTCAGCGGCCTGGGCACTGGGTACCTAACCCTAACCCCCCCCCGGTGACACCCCGGTGAGAGGCGAGGATGGGGTGCCGGACAGCCTCAGCCCCCGCTGCCTTGAGAGTGACCCTGTGGAGGGGAAGGGCTAGGGGAGCGCACCCTGAGAGAAAAGCACCAGGTTTGGGCAACACCTGAAGCCCAAGGCCTGAGAGAACGAGGCGTAGCGAGAGGCCAAGAGTGGGGTCCAGGTATGTCGACAGACGCCTGAGGCCCAAGGGGCGCAAGGCCTGGAAGGCCCAGTGGGGCCGGAGTAACGACCCCAGCGGCCCAACAATGGGGCCAGGGGAGTTGGAAGTCATTTTGGATGCCATCTGCAAGGCATGGGACACAGTAAAGGGGAGGTCAGAGCCATACGTATGACACCCTTGGCATCAGGGCATTAATGGGCAGCCACCTGCATTTTTCCATCTACTTTGTCCAGCAAGGCATGGCAGACGAGTCAAGGCAGACTGCCCTAGACAGGCAGGCGGCCGACAACGAGACCGGCTTGAGATGGCCCCTAACAAACCCCCCCAGCCACGGAGCAAACAAGCCGGAAGGGAGGGACTGGAAGAAGCCGCTCAGCTCAGGAGGGCCGGGACTGCAGTAAAGGAGGCAAGCATGAAACGAGCAGGCCAAGACGCAAAATACTTCCAATGTCGACAGACACTTGAGGCCCAAGGGGCACAAGGCCTGGAAGGCCCAGTGGGGCCGGAGTGGCGACCCCAGGGAGGGAGGCGAGGCACTCTACAAAGAGGTGACAGCAGTATCTAAAAGCGACGGGATGTACTGATGAGCGACTTCTGTTTTCCAGACGTCGGCTGGAAGAACAATGCACCAAACACGAGACGCTGAGCTGGTTCCTGACTTGTGTGGAGAACGGCTTTCTCTTCCAGAAGGTGGAGGATACGGCTTGGGGGTCATCTATCTTGGACCTTGTCCTGACCGACAGGGAAGATCTGGCGGGGGATGCAGAGGTGACGGGTAAATTGGGGGAAGCGATCACAATGCAGTAGCAGTCCAGATCCTGAGACAGAGAAAGCTTGAGGTCTGCAAACAGAAAGCTAGATTTCAGTAGAGTTGCGTGGTCTTGTCCAGAACTGAGGGACTGGGCAGATGCTCCACGCCTCTTCCTGCACAGGATAACGGGGCTACAGCAAACAAGTTAAAATGGCAATGCACCAAGATCCTCCACAGACGAATCTCGCGGGCCTCCCTGGTTAGCTCAGCAGTTCCCCTGCCGTGCCAATGCGGCCCACCCCAAGCAAAGGGTACTTATCAACGGCTCCATGTCGGGATGGCAGGAGGTTTCAAGTGGGGTCCCACGGGCCTGTCCTGGGCCCGGTGCTGTTCAGCCTGCTAGTTAACGATTGCACTGGCTTCCTGAGCCGGTTTGCAGACAGCCGGAATCTGG